GCGGTCTCGAACCGCGGGCTCAGCAATCACTCACCTCAGCCTCCCAAAGGCGCGGGATTACAGGCTGAGCCACCGAGCCCGGCTCGAAAAATGTTTTTAAAAAAACTTATTACCCTAAAATCTTTTACAATATTTCTAAATTTCTCATTTGTGATTACTGATGCTACTACTTTGTTATATACAATTTTTAAAAATCCAATTAATTCTTCTATGTGCTTTCTGAATTCAAATGCTAGAGTCTTTTTAGAAGGTGCGTGAAGCTAAAAAGATTTTAAAGATACGTTATTGCCTTTTTTTGTTTTTTGAATTGGAGTCTCACTCGGTTGCCCAGACTGGAGTGCAGTGGATGCTCCTGGCCATTGCAGCCTCGCCTGCTGGGCAACGGCGATCCTTCCGCCTCAGCCTTCCGAGTGGCCGGAATTACAGGCACACGCTACCACGCCTGGCTGATTTTTTGATTTATTGTAGAGATGAGGTCTCGCTGTCCAGGCGGGTCTCGAACCCGCGGGCTCAGGCAGTCCACTCACCTCAGCCTCCCAAAGGCGCGGGATTACAGGCTGTGCCACCGAGCCTGGCACGTTATTGCCTTTTAAATACCAAAATTTTCATCTGAGGAAGATAAAATATTTATTTTTAAATACTTCATTGTTTTGAGATACAATACTTTTCATCTTGGGAACCCTGAACTGTTGACATGAATTGTACTAATTAATATACATTTACTGCTGAATAATTTTTCAAGCTGATCATTATTCACAATCTGTACATTTCATCTCATTTTTTTTTTTTTGAGTCAGAGTCTCGCTCTGTCGCCTAGGCTGGAATGCATTGGTATGCTCACGGCCACTGTAGCCTCGACCTGCTGAACTCAGTCTATCCTCCCGTCTCAACCTTCCAAGTAGCTGTAAACACAGGCACACACCACCACACCCGGCTAATTTTTGATTTACTGTAGAGATGAAGTCTCACCAAGTTGCCCAGGCTGGTCTCGAATCTGTGGGCTCAGGCAATCCTCTCACCTCGGCCTCCCAAAGTACTGGGATTAATAAATTACTCAAGGGAGATACAAAATATTGATTTTATTTGTTTTATGACTAGGAAGTTCACTGTGAGAATATGAGCTGTAAAAACATTTATAATCTACACATTATGTTTTTCACATAGTGAGGATTAGATAGGTGATAGATTTGTGGTCTGCCTTAGATATCATTAAAAGATATTTATAAAATGTTTAAAAGACATCATTATAAAGTAGTTTAAAATGTAAATGCCTCAGTATGGAAGATAAATTATGTAGCTATCTTATCAATAATGTATTGTCAAGATGTAGACCCTAAGGCTGGGCACGGTGGCTCAAGCCTGTAATTCCAGCACTTTGGGAGGTCGAGGAAGGAGGATTGCCTGAGCTCAGGGGTTCATGACCAGTAGTTTTTCTAGTCAAGGAAGGCAACTTAGTTTTGGAGTTTTAAAGGTCATATAAGAAATTACTATGGCATCAATTGGATATTATTTCTATTTGGGACTCCAAAAATTCCTTAAAAAGGTGAGGCCAGAAGAGACCTCATCATGCATCAGAAATAAAAATTTGTATGGTCTGGGTTGATTGGAGGTGGCAGTTGGTGGAAACAGGAAAATGTTTCCATTGTCTTTTTATCTTCCGCTAAAGCTCCTTTTACTCTTTCTTCTTTCCATAGAGTTATCAACTGTTGGTTATTGAGAACACCGTTGAGGTGGCACAGTTCATTAATAACAATCCAGAATTTTTACAACTTGCTGAGCCATTCTGGAAAGAGCTCTCCCACCTCCCCTCGCTGTATGACTACAATGCCTACCGAAGATTAATTGACCAGTATGGGACACATTATCTGCAGTCTGGGTCTTTAGGAGGAGAATATAGAGTTCTATTTTATGTGGACTCAGATAAAATCAAACAGAATGGTAAATTATTAAAAAATTCTTATCCAAAAGAATTTCAGAGAGTCTAATGGGGAAATAGCATGAAGTTAACTTAAACTTTTGAGCTTTACTATTTGACAAATAGAGATTTAAATGGCAAAGGAGTCCAAAATTGCAAGAATCTATTACACTCTATTTAAAATCTTACATGATTTAAGAAAAACGTGCTTACTCTTTGGGATGGTACTCTGAGTTGAATTATTTTCATGATTTGCTATCTCTGGAGGATGTTGGTTGGATTTTTAGAATACTTTTTAGCCTTTTCCCTTTTCAGATTAATCAATATTTCTTGAGGAAAACCAAATGAGAAATTTACTGATATTCCAGAAATCAAATAGTTTAAAGGAAGTATTTTATTTACTTTTTTTTTTTTTGAGTTGGAGTCTCACTCTGTCACCCAGACTGGAGTGCAGTGGCCGCTCCCAGCCACCGCAGCCTCAACCTGCTGAGCTCTGGCGATCCTTCCACCTCAGCCTTCCGAGTAGCCGGAATTACAGGCATGCGCTACCACACCCGGCTGATTTTTTGATTGATTGTAGAGGTAAGGTCTCGCTGCCCAGGCGGGTCTCGAACCCGCGGGCTCAGGCAATCCACTCACCTCAGCCTCCCAAAGCGCGGGATTACAGGCTGAGCCACCGGGCCTGGCCCTTTGGTTTTTTTTAAGCACTCACATTCTTTTTAAAAAATCCACTCTAAATGTCATGAATTTGCTGACTACTTAATACTTGTTACAATAGCTTAAATTTACTGAATGCTTTCCTCATGACAGGTAAATTACATATATTAGCAGTAATCCTCACTACCACCCAATAAGATGGGACTATAGTTCCTTTCCCACAGTCTGAGAAATAGAGACTCAGTGCTATATGAGACTTTTCCAAAGTCACGTAGATTGTAAGAAGGGTCAAGCCAGGCCTAACCGGTCTCAAAGACAGTTTAACTTATTCCTTATGCTACATTGCTGTTAAAATTGCCTGATTTTTATGAGAATCAGGGCATGCCACTAAATCCATGCTTCACTGATTTCACACTGAAAGAGTCCTCTCTATCTGCCCAGATGTGGGAGAGGATGGAGTGGCGGCTTAATATCTACTTTTCCTCTCCAGAGACCATTTGGCCCTGGCTTATGAATATTCCAAGCTAGACCTTTTCCTTCGTAATGTTGTTTTTTAGTTGATATGCGCACTTCCTTCTCCATTTCAAATCCCTTCTTCAAGTTCTTTCTCTTCAGTAAAGAATGTTACAACCTTAGAGAAGAATAAAACTTCTTATATGAGATTGAGAGAAAGTCTTGTAGCTTTTCCTCATGAGTGACTATAATGTTTTTTTTTTGTGCTTCCATTTGGCTATTTTTTTCTTTGGTAGGTCTCTACCAGATAAATTTAAGTAGAAACTGGTCTTTTCCACTATCACAGGCTGGAAGCACCGGTTTTTGTAGCAAAGACAGAAGACACGATTTCTTTGGACAATCAGTTCAGCAAGTGGCTTGATATAAACTCACTCTTACTTCTTTTTATAGCACTTAAAAGAAATGGAGAAGATCAAAACATTTTTTTTCCAAGTTGGTAAAATTATTTTTTTGAGTAATAATTTTACTCTTGAGCAGTTTATGTTTTTCCTAAAATGTAGGAATGAAGAGAAAGAACTTGAAGAAGGGATTTGAAATGGAGAAGGAAGTGTGCGTATCAACTAAATATAATAAAAACTTCTGATATAATATATGCCAGAAATAATTGTTCCTTAAGAAATATTGAAGTTAGCCGGGCTCGGTGGCTCAGCCTGTAATCCCAGCACTTTGGGAGGCTGAGGTGAGTGGATTGCCTGAGCCCGCGGGTTCGAGACCCACCTGGGCAACTTGGCAAGACCTCATCTCTACAATAAATCAAAAATTAGCCGGACATGGTAGCGCGCGATTGTAGTTCCAGCTACTTGGAAGGCTGAGGCAGAAGGATCGCCGGAGCCCAGCAGGTCGAGGCTGTGGTGGCCGGGAGTGGCGACTTTACTCCAGTCTGGGTGACAGAGAGAGACTCCCACTCAAAAAAAAAAAAAAAAAAAAAAGAAATATTGAAGCTATTCTAATATAGTTAGTACAATTATATGAGAAAAATATATTTCTACACATTATTTTCTATTCTACTTTAAAGAATGCATTGGCAAAACTCTATTTTTTTACTTTTTTGATTTATTATACAGAAAAGGTCTCACCAAGTTGCCCAGGCTAGTATTGAACCCCTGGGCTCAGGCAATCCTCTTGCCTCTGTCTCCCAAATTGGTGGGATTACAGATGTGAGCCACTGTGACCAGCTTGGCAAAACTCTATTTTATAATGAGTAGAAATCACATTCTAAGGTTATGAGTTATGGAAAGGAGATGTTAGGAGCCACAGATGTTAAAGGTAAAGAAACTGAATGAGTAGAACTAGAGTTTTTGTAATTAATTCTTATAGAACCAGAAGCTAGCTTTTGGAGTCTTAAGTAGGTATGCTAGAAGAAGCTGCCATGCCTCTACTTTTATCTATTTATTTTATGCCTAAAAAACTGACTGTAAATGGGTGAAAGGTATCACTCTGGGATGTTTAATTTCTGCTCCCTCCACTATTTAATGTAGAAATTACTCCCACCTCCTTTTCTCTCCAGCAGAAGCCAATAGAAAGAAAATAATAAAAGTGAAATATCCCTTTTATGAACTTTGACCTTTCTAGAGTACTTGAAAATGTTCACACTGTGAACATGGGTTCATAATATTTATTGTGATTAGATGGCCGAGTAGCAGGAAACGACTTCTTATCCCCACTCTCATACCTGGGTACATCTCAAAGAAGGGTGTCAACAAATATGGAAATTAAACATGTTTCTTTTACATTTTTTTCCCTCAGGTGTTAGTTCAATAGAGGAGAATAAATGTACTTCCTCAGATTTCCATTTTATCTTTAAATCATCAAAACAAAAATGCAAGGGGCTGGAAGATGCTTTAAAATCAGCTTCAGGTAAATGAGAAGAGAGCAATTTGCATTACAAGTGTAACATCTTTTCCTTTCTCTTGTGGTTAATTCTTGGTCTCCAAAGGTTTTTGAAGTTTTAGCAGGTGTTTCACGTTGTGCTTTTCATTCATTTGGTTATTTTTGCCTCTGGTCTCTCATTTGGCATGCAGTGAAACATCATGCAGGGTGGGAAGTTCACTGCCTTTCTCCAATGTACTGTAAATATGTTCTCAGTGTATACTACCTCCCTTTTTTTATGATGGTTGGCAAACAAACCTAGAAAAATGACAATATCAAAGAAAAGTTCAGTTCCACTCCATGACATGGATACTAAGAGTAGGTCAGGTTTTAGGTGCATGCTAGTGGCAGTGAAGAGGGTGGGGAAGGCGGTATGCTAGTCTTTGAGTTATTGAAGAAGTACTAAAAGGGTAAAAACTGACCTAGACTGTGAAGGTACAATGTTAAGAAATTTGGATTTCATCCTGATGACTGTGAAGCGTCTTTAAAAGGGAGTGATTAAATAAAAGATTACATGGATAAAATAGTAGAGAAAAAAGAGGGATGGAGACTGAATGATCTTATGGAATAAGGAACAGAAGAGGTAGAAAGTAAAGAGAAGAAAGAGGCCAATAGGCTGAAATGCTAGAGAGAAGTCAGGTGAGATAATGACTGAAAATGTCCACTGGATTTGGTGATTAAAAGTTGCTGTAAAAAGAAGAGATTACATAGTGTGGTAGGGATAGAAGTGAGACTTCAGAACATTGTGTGAAGCCATAGGCTGATGGGGTGATGGCAGAAATCAGGGCAAAGGTGAGGACTGAATCACATGCCCTAGTTCTCAGTGAAGAAGAGATTCTTAAGATATTGGTACAATACTGCAAGAAGTGGGGGACAGTGGTAAAACCAAGTTTATGTGCTCATTCCCTTACCTGACTCATCAAATATTTACGAAGTCTATAGTTTGTTCCAGCAATTGTTCTAGGCAATGGAGATACAGCAGTAAGTATACTAAAGAAAGTACTTGTTTTTATGGAGTTGATATGTCAGAAAAGGAAAAATAATGATCTGGACATAGAAATGGAAATGGAAACCTTGGGAAGATGCTGACATCAGTCATCAGTTGGGTTGGCTCTTGGAAGCTGCTAATCAATTTTATTTTATTTTGTATTTGACAATAGAGCACTTACTTTATGCTCGGGACACTTTTAAGTATTTACAAACAGTAGCCAGTGTACTTTCCTATGTAAGTGTTAGGATTATTCTTCGTATTCACGTTTTACACACAGGGACATTGAGGCCCAGAAATGTCCAAGATCATAGTTAGTAAGAATCAGATATGAGATGCAAATGAATATTTTGGGCTTCACATTGTGGGCTTTTCACTGTTGCATTGGACTGCCTTTTCTAGGGGGAAAAAAAGCTCAAGAAGAGAGTTCACTGAGGTACGGAAAGGGAGGCCAAAAGCTTAAAAATAACATAAAAGTGGATTTCTTAGAATCTGTAATTCTTTTTTTTTTTGAGTTGGAGTCTCACTCTGTCGCCCAGACTGGAGTGCAGCGGTCCCGGCCACCGCAGCCTCGACCTGCTGGGCTCCGGCGATCCTTCCACCTCAGCCTTCCAAGTAGCTGGAACTACAGGCGCGTGCTACCATGCCCAGCTAATTTTTGATTTATTGTAGAGACGAGGTCTTGCCAAGTTGCCCAGGCGGGTCTCAAATCCGCGGGCTCAGTCAATCCACTCTCCTCGGCCTCCCAAAGTGCTGGGATTACAGGCTGAGTCACTGAGCCCGGTCAGAATCTGTAATTCTTAAACAGGTGTGTCAGTTAAAGCAATGATTCTCAAACTTTAGTATGCATGAGGATTACCTGGGGATGCCTGTTAAATTGCTGATTCCAAGGTTTACTTGTTTTCTCACATATGCTCTCATACGTCTTGGTTGGGGCTCAGAAATCTGCAATTACTTTGATTATTGTGATTCAATAGTTTAGGGACCAGACTTTGTGGTACACTACATTAAAAGGGTGACTATTTGCATATTAAAAACAGTCCTAACAGTGAAGATAAGAAAGTGCTCAGGTAATTTGTTAAACCTGTCAGGCTTTACAGACACAGCAAGATAAATATCACATGTCCTCTCTCATATGTAGTAGCTAAAAAAGTTGATCTCATGGAAGTAGAGAACAGATTGGTAGGTACCAAAGGCAGGGAAAGATGGGGGAGAGGGTGATGAAGAAGAGAGTTGGTTAATGGGATTCAACATACAATTAGTTAGGAAGAATAAGTTATAGTGTTTGATAGCACAGTTGGGTGACTATAGTTAACAATTATTTATTATATATTTCAAAATAGTTAGAAGATTTGAAATGTTCCCAACACGAACAAATGATAAGGTGATGGATATCCTAAATACCTTGATCTCATCTTACACATTATATGCATGTATCGAAATATCACATATATCCCATAAGTATGTAAAATTATTATTTTATCAATAATAAATAAATAAAAATGATTGAGATTTAATGATTTCGGATCCTAAAAGTACAATATGCTCATTTTATGAAATTGCAAAAATATGAACAGTTTATAAGGAAAGGAAAATTACTCAAAAACTGATCTATAAGATTAGGAATTTCAGCCGGGCTCGGTGGCTCAGCCTGTAATCCCGCGCCGTTGGGAGGCTGAGGTGAGTGGATTGCCTGAACCCGCGGGTTCGAGACCCACCTGGGCAACTTGGCGAGACCTCATCTCTACAATAAATCAAAAACTAGCCGGGAGTGGTAGTGCGCGCCTGTAGTTCCAGCTACTTGGAAGACTGAGGTGGAAGGATCGCAGGTCGAGGCTGCGGTGGCCAGGAGCCGCCACTGCACTCCAGTCTGGGTGACAGAGTGAGACTCCAATTCAAAATAAAAAAAAAAATTAGGAATTTCTTGTCATGACCTGTGTAAAAAACCATTACAAATGGAGGTGAAAATATTTCCAAAATTATGAGGCACATAAATGGAAAAAAAGGATTTAATTAGCATTCAAACTTTTCAGAATACTTTTTAATGTGCTAGGTAATTGATTCCTGTTAACTTTTTTGTTTATTGTTGGTATACCAGACGCAATAAACTGTTTTCCCTCCAATATTTTATTATGAAAATTATTAAACATATAGAAAAGTTGAAAGGACATAGTAATTAACACCCATACACCCACTTCCTGTATACAACAATTATTATGTTGACACTTTACTATATATATCTACATATGATATTTATAATATTGACTAGCGATATATAAATATTATGTATTAAAAATGTTTTTATACTTGCTGATCATTTGAAAGTAAGGTTCAGTTATCAGGATACCTCATCCCTCAATATATGCATGCATCTTCTAAGAGGGACATTCTCTTGTATAACATGATACTCCTATGACACCAAAACATTAAAAACATGAACAATAATTTCCTAATATCATCTAATATCAGGCAATGGATTTTTTCCTTTTTAAAAATTGACCTTATGTTTTAGAGCAGTTTTAGGTTCATAGCACAACTGAGTGGTAAGTACAGAGTTCTTATATACCCACCACATCCGCACCTGCAAAGCCTCTTCAACTATCAACGTCCCTCACAGAGGGGGGCATTTGTTACAACTTATACACCTATGCTGACAAGCCATCATCACCCAAAGTCCATATCACTGTTGGTGTTGAACATTTTATGGATTTTGACAAAGGTATTATGACATATGTCCATCATTGTAGTCTTATACAGAATAGTTTCACTGCCCTAAAAATCCTTTGCGCTCCACCATTCATCTCTCTTTTTTCCCTGGTTGCCACTTATCTTTTTTGACTGTTTCCATAGTTTAGCTTTTTCCAGATTGTCATACAGTTTGACGGATTATTTTGTAATACTTGATAAAGTTTTCACTTTTATGTTATTTTCATTTTGTTTGTGCATCCTGACTTTATTTGATATCTTTTGTGTAGGCACACAGAACAATGTGCTGAGAGGGAACCCATTTATCAGAGGGGGAGGTCCAGGCTTCATTTCTGGCCTTAGTTTTCTAGAGCTGGACAATCCTGTTGGGAACAAAGGGCGGTATTCTGCCTGGGCACAATCTGTGACTGAACTTCCTCAAGTCATAAAACAAAAGGTATGTGATACTCTGTTTAAAGTGGTAGGAAGCAGTCATGTTTATTTTATTGGGAAAATGAGATTAAATCAATATGGTTAAACAGACACTGTTGTAATTAGCATTTTCTGTATCCTAATTATGTTTTGTGTAGTAAAATGAGTGCATGCATAATAATGAAAAACAGAAGGTGTGTTACTAGTACGTTCATAGCTTAAGTTGCAAAGGTTAAATGTCTTGCAAATCTCAAGAGAAATTAATGACAAAAATTAGCATTTTAGACTTTCGATCTAGATTTGATTATGTTTTCTTTGGTCCCTATTTCAGAAGAGTCATCGATTCTTGGAAGAGGATGGCATTTAGGCTTGCCTACTACTATGTTCAGATCATCTTTCTTTTTGCAGCCGTGGTTCAAGGGCAACTGACGTCATGCAAATTAAGATAGCACCAAACTGGCTGGCAGAATTTTAGGATGTTTTATTGATACAGTCGGTTTTTTTTATAACACAGCATATGTTTCTAAAAGTCACTGAGCTATGAAAAACTGCACAGTAAAGACCACAGAGCTTATGGGAAAAATGGGGGTAGAGACACAGCCCTCAAAAGTATCATTTGTGACACTCATTAAAAAAAGATAGGCATTGATGAAAATAGTAGCATAATTTTGTACATATTAAATTATTTAAAAATGTATCTATATTACATTAAACTTGGTACGTTACCTGGAAAAAGGCCTGAAGCTTGCTGGATGTTGGAAGTGTTACAGCTTGTGATTGACCATGAGGTAGTAGAAGGATAACATTCAGAAACCTGACAGCCTTGTAGCACCAGATGTGGATGAGTGTCATTTATAACACAGACAGTGAACTGACATAGATTTTTGAAGTGTGTGTGTGTGTGTGAGTTCCTTTTTGCCTTGGTTCAACTGTGTGCAGTTTTCTGTTTACCCTGTGCTTACCTTAGCTTAGTCATATACTTGTATAGCGTCTTTTCTTTCTCTGTTCTTTTCCTAACCAGCTAATAAGTCAGCAAAACTATAATAATTTATAGTCCTGTGTGGAAAAGTACATAGCTGAGACTATGCAAAAATGTTCTTTCCTAATAAATAATTTAGGATTTCTAAAGATTTGCATTTATTTGAAACACAAAATACATAAGAAAATGCAAAACTTGTGCTATGCTCAAATTTTCCCCAATATATAAATCTCACTGAACAAATTCACATTTCTTTTCTTTTTTTTTTTTTTTTGGAGTTAGAGTCTCTCTCTTGTCGCCCACCTGGAGTGCAGTGGCACTCTCATGGCCACCGCAGTCTCAACCTGCCAGGCTTAGGTGATCTTTCTCCCTCAGCTTTCCAAGTAGCTGGAACTATAGACGCATGCCACCATGCCTGGCTAGTTTTTGTTTTTTTTTTTGACTTATTGTAGAGACGAGGTCTCACCAAGTTGCCCAGGTTAGACTCGAACCCCCAGGTTCAGGCAGTCCTCTCATCTTGACCTCCCAAAGTGCTTGGATTACAGGCTGAGCCCCTGTGCCCATCTGACATTTTAAAAACAAATGTTATAGCAGACCTGATTTGGTGATCTATTCCCTGCCATGGGAATCAAACAATTGGTCCTGATTTTTAAAGCCTGATTTTCAGAGATTAAGAGACTTGGATACACTTTATAAATTTTAAACAAAAAATTACAAAAATTTCTCAAGTACCCTTCTAACACCATACTGCATCCATTAGCCTCTGAATAAAGATGAAGGTGGGAAGCTGAATTTTTTCTGGAAAGTCTTATCTTAAAGTACCATCTATTAATACTCAAAGTGGTCTATATTCATTGTCAGTGTCCCATACAAATCTTTGGAAATCCTAAATTATTGATTAGGGAAAAACATTTTTTCACAATCTCAGCTATGTACTTTTCCACACAGGACTATAAATTATTATAGTCTTGCTAACTTATTAACTGGTTAGGAAAGGAACAGAGAAAGAAAATACACTATATGACTATGCAAAGTGAATCCTGTTCAGAAGTGTTTGAACTTTTAGGAACCAGTGTTGCATATCTCTTCCCAGTTCTGTGCTTAGTGACATCATGGTGGTAGTCTGAAATTGGTCAGAGTGAGAATAGTTACTTTGCAAAAATTGGCACATGCCACAAGGTAGAGACTTTTATTTCTGGGAGAGCAGATTGTTAAAGCTTAGTCAGTATGTCTGTGATTTCAAAGTTGCTTTTCTTCTAAAATATCCAACACAGAGCAATAATATCTACCTGTTTTAAATTTCTTCAGGAGGACAGAGTTTATAGTCTGCACTAAAGAGACAAGTTAAATCTCTCAGTGTCAGGAAATTTAATTCTAAATTTAATTGTATTTGCTTCTTTGCTGTAATTTATGTAAGTTTCCTTTTCTTCTGTCCTCTATAGGGGTGGTAATATACTATCTTTAAAGTAATCTTCCATTAACTAGAAAATGACTATCCTGTTTTTTTGTTTTTTAATTTTACACAGGCATGCATGATATAAAAAAAAATTGTTTTCCATCTTATCCTAATTTTCCCTAGGTTTTTTTCTTGATTTTGTTGCTGAGTGAACTGTTTTCTTTTTTACTTAAACAAAAGACACTTATAATGAACATGAATGATTTTTGGTTTTGTTTTAATGGGGATGGTGCCTAAATGTGAAAAGAAAAATATTCTTGCTTTAAGCCCTGATTACTGATTATGATGACTTTATTTGTATAGGTGACACCTTTGTATGAACTGGTAAAGGAAGTGCCTTGTTCTTCTGTGAAAAGATTGTACCTGAAACGGGCTCTTGAAGAGTATCTGGATGAATTTGACCCCTGTCACTGCCGGCCTTGTCAAAACGGTGGCTTGGCCACTGTTGAGGGGACCCAGTGTCAGTGCCATTGCAAACCATACACATTTGGTGTGGCGTGTGAGCAAGGAGTCCTCGTGGGGGATCAAGCAGGTCAGTGGGCTGAATTTCTATAGTCAGTTTGTACACATTGAAAGAGAATTACCCTTTTTCTGGCACCTAAAATGTGCTTCTTTGTATATGGAGAAGTGAAGTCTCATATGAATTTAGAATCTGTCTCCTTTCCACACTTCCAGATTTTAGCTACTCTGGTTAAGGCCCGTTGCTATATGTCTCTTTTTACCCATCTGAATTTAAGTCCCACTATGCCCTCTGCTCTCTACTCTCTATTAGAATAGAATTGTGGCCAAAACATCTTTCATCCATCTATAATTATCTCAATAATTTTGCTGTAAGAAAAGTCTATGGGGCTTGTGTTTGCATTGCTTAGTCTTTCTGATGGCATGCTCTTAGAAACATCTCTATTTCTATTCTCTATTATGTACTATCAATCAATCATTTGTAAATATTTGTTGAATATCTGCTGTGTGCTCAATAGTGTGTATGGCAGTTAAAGCACTTAGTACAGGGCTTGGTGATGTTGGCTGTTGAGTAGTCATAGTATAACTACAATATATATACTTTTGTTTTTATAGTTTTTTTTTGGTCTCTCTCTTCTAGAAAGCTCACTTATTATTTGTTATTATTTTTTTCGAGTAGGAGTCTCACTCTGTCACTCAGGCTGGAGTGCAGAGAAAGCTCATTTTTTAAGGTTAAAGCTGTTTGACTTTTTTTTTTATTCCCAGAGCCTGACATAGGGCTTGATTCAAAGAAATCACTAAATAAATGACTGATGAATGAATAAATACACAGCTAAACTACAGTTTCTTATAAACAAGCATCTAAAAGGGCTCCTTGTTCCCAGATTTCTCCCCAGGTGGCCTGTCCTGGCAAGTTAAAAATCTACCACTGTGATTCATTTTTCTGTGGCTTGGATTTCCAGTTATCTGTTAAAATGGAATCACCCCCTGCTTAAGGATTAGAATAGCAATCACAGTGTTCTTTTTTTTTTTGAGTTGGAGACCCTCTGTCACCTAGGCTGGAGTGCAGTGACACACTCACGGCCACCCCAGTGTTGACCTGCTGGGCTCCAGCGATCCTTCTGCCTCAGCCTTCCAAGCAGCCAGAACTACAGGCACATGCTACCACGCCCGACTAATTTTTTGTTTTATTGTAGAGACACGGTCTCGCCAGGTTGCCTGGGCTAGTCTCGAACCTGTGGGCTCAGGCAATCAACTTGCCTCGGCCTCCCAAAGTGCTAGGATTATATGCTGAGTCACTGAGCCCGGCCAATCACAATGTTTTAAGCTGTTATTGCCAGCATTAATATACTCAGGGGACTACTTTATTAAATATATTTCCAATTATGACATTGTAAAGAAGATCACAGGGAAATATCATGCAAATTAGTTTAGTTTTGGAGCATGTCATACTGAAGAGTGGGTGTGGAGTGGAGGAAAAAAGAGGATGTGGGTCATACAGAGTAGAAATAGGTAAGAAGCAGCAAGTACACACATTGGTTGTCAGGATAAAATGCTTTGGGGGAATGGTTTCTGAGATCACTTTCTAACTAGGAAAGCAAGCCTCTTGGAATGTGGTGCAAGGTGTCTCTTACCTCCCCAAAGGGATAAAATGGGAGTAAACACTAGAAGAAATATCAATCTGAAATAGGCTCTGAGGTAGAAGGTGGTCAGAGCGGGGTGAGATGTGCCTATAGATTAAGAAAGATGCTGAGAGGAGGTAAAACTAATGATTTAAAAACATTTTTTTTCTACTTCCTGTTGACCGAGTCTGAAACAAAACAAAACAAAACATTTTTTCTACTTATGTATAAATTTCCTAATTTTGTACTGTGCTAGTTCCGGGGTTAGCAGTCTGGGCGTACCCAGTAGGTTATGTTCTCTTTGTGCCAAGTCAACTCTTTGACTACAGAAGCTTACTTGCCTTATTGAGAGATTGTGAGGTGATAAAAACCCTGGACTCAGTCAGAAAACCAGGTTATATTCTCGTTGTGGCTCTTGACAGCTATTACAACATTGGGCATCACATTTAAACAATTCATCTTAGATTCCATGTCTATTAAATGGGAGTGGTAACAGACCTCTTGGCTGCCTCCATTCATTGTTATGGGATGTAAAAAAAATGATACCCTATATATAAAAGTGCTTTGAAACAGATGTAAAATAACCAACAAATGTAAGATATGATTGCAAGAAGTTCACTAATGCAGCCTAATATGGATTTTCCTAGCCAGTGTGTAGAACCATTCTGGCCACTGTTGAAAACCTCAGTAAACAGAGTGAAGGTTGCCAGAATTATCCCTTTCCCCAGTAAACATGTTCTCAGGAGGCATAGCACAGAGCTTCAGGATCCTCCTCTCTAAGAATTTGCTGAATGTCTCTCTCATCTTATAGGAGGGGTTGATGGAGGCTGGAGTTGCTGGTCCTCTTGGGGCCCCTGTGTTCAAGGGAAGAAAACAAGGAGCCGAGAATGCAACAACCCATCCCCCAGTGCAGGTGGGAAATCCTGCACTGGAGAAACAACAGAAAGCAGGCAATGTGCAGATGAGGAGCTGGAGCATTTGCGGTAATGGAGACTCGACTTCCTGGTAGCTACATAGAACACAGTGCCCTCTGCAGTCGCTGTGGAATACACGATCGTGGCTGTTGAAAGATTTAGAAGTTCAGTTGGGGTTTTTATTAGTGATTGCTTTGTCCCTTAACGGTGGGGTCAGTTGAAGGAGGTAGCAATGGGGTCAGGTGAAGGAGGGAAGTACATTGTAAACGACTTGAGCTGTGTGCTTCAGGTTTTTCTGACACAAGTGTTACAAAAGGCTGGGTAACTCAGCACAGTCCAGCTGAGTGTATACAGGATCTGCTATCTACTTGCTGTGTGACCTTGGGCAAGCTATTGGTCACACCTCTACAATTAGAACTATAAAAGTAGGCAAACCTACTAGTAGGAAAATAGGATGTTGTCACACTTAAATGAGATTAAGCATAGAAAGTGATCAGTACAGTAGCTGGTACTTACTACCATTTGTTCCTAATTAGTTTTTAGATTAAGCATAAAGCCAGATACTTGAGCTAGATCATATCTTAGTGGATTAGCCCAGTAGTCTGGCACCAACTTGCCATTTGCCAAGACCTTGCGAAAGTTATCTTAAAAATTCTTAGTTGGTGAATATACTGCTGTGTTAGAATTCTTTATGCACCCTACTGTTTCCATTGTCCTTTTCTAATTGGAACTGGTAAAAAGTTCTAGCAATATAATTGAAAGGTCATGTGGGTTGAAGAAAAAAGTGAGGTGATTGTATATCTGGTAGAAGCATGGGGAGGTGGGATTCCTTATTTCTCTGTCTTTAGTGCCTTGTAACCTTAACCAAGGAAGCTGGCAAACATGTGGATTATGAGGGAAGGAGCAGGATGGCTTCAGCACACATACGAGGGGCAACCCCCAAAATCCCAGAGTTATCTTTTGGAGGGCCTTGTAGTATAGGCTTTCACCTCTAGGTAAGTGTTCCCAAAACCCATTAGCATCATCATCAGTGTATGTGCTAGCATCGTTGTGAGAAACTGTATTTGGCTTCAGTGAATTTTTTTTGAAGGTTCTTTTAATGCATTTCCCATTTCATGATGGGTTATTTACTGGTGCACCCGCCCACACCTTGCTGAGTGTCCAGCAGTTTTTGCCGAAAAACGGCATGACCCTTGTGCCCTACCCTCTCTATTCAACCAATTTGTCACCGAGCTACTTTTGTTGTTTCCCTGGATGAAAAAACTCTTCAAAGGGAAATGTTTTGCCAATATGGAAGAGGTGAAACAAAAAGCAGTCGAAGCATTAAAAGGCAACAAAATTAACACATTAAAAAATCGTTTTGAGCAGCGGAAAAAGCATCTTGATAGGTGTATTGCATCAAATGAAGAGTACTTTAAAGGTGAATGAAGTTTAAACATGTAAGAATACATACACAATTTTTAAATAAATAAATTCTGGGTTTTTTGGATTCCCCCTCATGTCCCTGAGAGGATGAGGTCTCTGCTTGATTGAATGCATTTCTCCTGCTTTTAGACTTAAGCTAGAGGTAGGGGAGCATTTGAAGCAAGTCATTGACAGAATTTTCACTCTCCTTAGTGCTCAGAGGTGAGGAAGTATCCTCCTTTTCAGTACAAACAATGATCAGTACTTACCATTTCTGGGTTTCCTCAGAATCTGGAACTTCACAGGGAAGGAGGCAACACTCTTGAGTTATTTGTATTGCTTTCCTTTCATGTCTCTGGTGTGGAGATAAAACTGGTGGTATCTTAGCCTCAGAGGCACTATGGAAAACCATTGTTGGCCGGCGCAGTGCCTCATATCTGCAATCTTGGCACTTGGGGAGGCCGAGACAGAGGATTGCTTAAGCTTAAGAGTTCGAGACCAGCTGGGCCACATGGTGAAACCTTGTCTCTACAGAAAATTAAAAAAAAAAAAAAATTAGTCAGGATTGGTGACACATGCCTGTAGTCCCTGCTACTTGGGAGGCTGAGCTACTCAGAGGCATCGTCTGAGCCCAGGGGTTGAAGCTGCAGTAAGTTGTGATTGTGCCACTGCACTCCAGTCTGGGAGACAGAGTAAGACCTTGATTCAAAAAAAAAAAAGCCACCATGGTCATTATTGTTATTGTCCGCTCTCCCAAGAGATGGTTATGGTGATGGTAAAATATCAGGATTGGCTTTAATGAGATGATATCAGGGTTTCTGTTTCCCCTTGTTCTATTTAGGCTGATGATTCCTGTCCCAAACCTTAACAAAACTTGCTTTCCCCAAAGAATGTGCTATCAGTTATATATGCTTCAGAAAAAATGTAGACACTAAGACTCCCTAGTTTTCCTTACTGCTTTGTGAGAGGTAAAAACAGCATGACTGGAGGAACCTAACTGGAATTTATTAGTTCATGACCTTGGACAAGTTAATTAAACTTTCTGTGTCTTTGTTATTCTCCACATATCGTATGGAGTTGCTGTGAGTACAAAGTGAGATAGTGCACATTTGCAAAACAACTGCCATGGTACCTGACACATAGTAAATGTTCAATAAAAGGTGGTTATAATTTTGTGTTTCCTCTTTCCTGGGATTATTGACTAATTACCTTATTTTCAATATAGAATTATTTCTGCATAAATACATTTCAGAACATTAGGAGAAAAAATAGATTCTGAGGCAGGTGAACTCCAAAAATCATATAAAGTAGGTTTGTTGTCCAAAGCCTATTTCTTTTTGTTTCTTTTTCATATTACTGACCTAGGAGCTATTTAAATCACTTTCTTTGGAAGTTTGAGTTTATGTTTGTGTTTTCTACTATAAGATATGATTGGACATTTGGTTCTGAGAATGACAAAAATATGATACCAATGTATTTACATTGAATGGAGTTCCTTCAGATACTAAGGAAAAATCCAACGTAGTGCAAGACATTTAGTAAACTGTGGAAATAAATAATATTAATTGCATTTTATTTCTTTCTCTTTCAGATTGCTTGAACCACATTGCTTTCCTTTGTCTTTGGTTCCAACAGAATTTTGTCCATCACCTCCGGCCTTAAAAGATGGATTTGTTCAGGTTGGTTATGAAAGATATACATATATATATTTAAACACAGAACTCTAAATTTATCTCTTTACTGAGACCATAACCTATTCTCTTCTTCTGTGGAGAAATCGTGCTCAAAATCGTTTATATGTGCATTTTAGTTTTAGTGGTGAGGGTTTTAGTTTGGGACTTTTCTTTTTTGGCCCAAGGTGTTAGAATTCTGTAGAAGGCAGTATATCTTCTGTGGTGTAGGAAATCAATACTGCCATCCAGTGAATTAGAAATGTAATCTTGCCAGAGGCCTACTAAACATTGCCACTCTGGACACCAAAATACGAATCTACAAGTATGTTCTTAAACTGAGAGAACTTTTCTTATTTTTGCCACTGACAGAAGTCTTTTTTTTCTCTTAAATGTGTGGTTTGGGATGAACCATTGGGTTTATTCCAGGAGTCAATAAGACCATTAGCCAGCATCTGGTGAGATATGGGTCACTGTATTTTGAGCAATTTTCTGTCATTTTAAGGTTTTTTTTGGCTTTGAGGACATTTTAATTAGTACTGTTCTCAGTCCTTGTTATGATGAGGCGTTGGCCCCAAGCTCCAGTGAAGTTTCTTTATGGCTCACAGAAGAGACATTTTCACGAGGACTCTCTCAATGCTGCCAGCCTTGCTTTCCTCACAAGGAGTTTTGTTTCTCAAATTCCAGGCCCTTGAGCACACACTCACTGAGAGTTTGCTGAAGTCTCCCCAAATATAGGAACTTTTGGGAGATGAAAGAGGGGTGTGTGTGTGTGTGTGTGTGTGTGTGTGTGTGTGTAGAAAGAGAAAACCTACTATCTCGAACTGTCCCCCTAGAGTCATCATACTGTCTCACTAGAGTCATCATAATCCATGGATTTCTTAAACAAAATATGATCAGAGGATAAGACCAAGAAAACTCATACACTTTTGCAAACCGTGAAGTTGTGGCCCCAAACTCCAAAGCATGTGGTATCCTTTTAGGAGTCAGGGATTCCCAACACTACTTTTTGGACCTGGTACATCAGAATCACCAGGGAACTTAAAAACAGAAACTGCTGCTTGCCCCTTGTCCTCCATATTGTCTGGTTTGATAGGTTTGTGGTAGAGCCTGAGAGTCTGTTTTGCTAATTGCTATGAGTGGTTTTGATATAAAGTTAAGTTTGGGTACTATTGCATTAGATTTATATTGAAGTTCCTTTTGCAAGGTAGAAAAAGGCCTAGGGGCAAGACTCAAAGCAGATCACATGCCCTTCCCTATTTTCCTCAAATCTCAACACCAACCTGGAACCCCTGTTGCCTTACCTACTTCCATGATGAAGTCAGACTAAGTCAGGAGGTGAAAGACTGACAATGAGAAGGAGGCTTTAGGAAATTTTGTTCTAATCCCTAGAGCAGAGCTGATCTAGGTATCAGTTCCAATCCCTCTCCTAGGTTTGAGTTTCTTCACCATCCCTTGGGTGGCAGATAACCAGGAGAATAAGGAAAGGAACCGAGAGACACCCCAAATGAGCAAGGCTACCCCTTGAGTCTCAGATTCCAGATTCCTCCTTGCTTTCTATTAAAGTTTTCCTTCTAATATTATAGGCTAATGCTATGTTCTTGAATCTGACTCAGTCCCAGAAGCATTCCGTACTTATAGAATGGAGTGAAGGGTGGGATGGGAGATCAACATTATGCTTCTCCTAAAAGTCATTAGAGAGAAACTGAAACTTTCATGAACATACTGATAGAATTTGAAACTTTCTGGGTGTTCATGCTGGTATTTTTTTAGGCAGTATTGCCAATGAACAGCCCATCATGCCTTACTATGAAGAGCTGACTGAGAAATATTTCCCAAAATCTGATAAAAAAAAAAGAAAACTGCTTCTTCCTAAAAGTAAGAGGGAAAGAAGTTATTTGGACAGTGTCCATTAAAGCAATTTTAGTGAAATACTTAGTACACTGCTTGGTATTTGGGGAACAATTAATAAATTATAGTATAGTGGCATTAATGGATTTATTTAAATTATTGGTGATACTAGTGTTATTGACTATTCAGGGAAAATTTTATAATAGATACTTTTCTAAGTTAGTTATTTAAATGTAGGTTTCCTGATAATTAAAAGATGGTATAATTTATAGGTCAAATATATCTAAAGAAAGCTTTCATTAATGTAAAGTAAACAAACTTCCTTCTTCCATCTTTTATTTTTGTTTAGAATAAAGATACCATGTTTCCTGTTGGGAAAAATATAGTGTACACTTGCAATGAAGGATATTCTCTTATTGGAGACCCTGTGGCCAGATGTGGAGAAGATTTACAGTGGCTTGTTGGGGAAATGCATTGTCAGAGTGAGTGGTCTCAGCTGTAGTACATAGTTTAAGATTAAAAAAAAAAATTATGTGGAAGAGAATGGATCAAGATAAATATCCACTTATCATATGCCCTGTGTCTTGACTTCCCTTTCCTGAAAGGCTGATATGATTCTAAGTTTCAGAAATGACTTGTATAAGCCCTTGGCCTTCTCTAGTTGTTAATGTTCCTGTTCAGTAAGGTCAATTTTATTGCAATCTTAAAGTTTCTGGTGCAAATTAAAGCAGGACAGGGAACTCGGTTCAGGTGAAGATTATTAGGATATTCTTTAGTAATTAATTACTAGGGGCATACCACAATCAATCTACTATCTTAAAAACTTTGCATATTATTTTGTTTAGATATAGGCATCTGAGTAAGAGCTTCTGCATGTTGTACTAACCTAAAACTACATTTTGGCTTTCATCCCTGTTGAAAGATAAGTTTGTCCAGTCAATGGATAGATTGCTATAAGGATAAATATTTTTTCTAAATCAGTTTGTCTATACTATATGAAGAAAGCTCTTGTACATACATGTACTTTTTTTTCTCTTAGGAATATATCTGTTAGTGAAATTTCTAAATAACTGGGTATCCATATATTGGGTATATAGACATTTAGTTTATTTTTTTTTTATAGGATTTTTTTTAGAGGATTTAACTTTTTTTTTTTCTGTTTTTGAGTTGGAGCCTCACTCTGTCACCCAGACTGGAGTGCAGTGGCGGCTCCTGCCACTGCAGCCTCGAACTGCTGGGCTCCGGCGATCCTTCTGCCTCAGCCTTTCAAGTAGCTGGAACTACAGGCACGCACTACCACACCCGGCTGATTTTTGATTTATTGTAGAGGTGAGGTCTCGCCAAGTTGCCCAGGCGAGTCTCGAACCTGCGGGCTCCGGCAATCCACTCACCTCAGCCTCCCAAGGTGTGGGATTACAGGCTGAGCCACCGAGCCTGGCTGACATTTAGATTTAGTGAAGTCTCCCAGCATTTCAAGATGGTTATACCAATTTGTCTCTATTATAATCTGAGAAGTCAAGATTGCTGTATATACTCACTAACGCTTCATATTATCTGCTAGAGTGGTGAGTGTATAGTGATATCTTATTTTTTAATTTTGTACTTCTCTAAAGATTAATGATGTTAAGCTTGTTTTCATATGTTTTTTGGTCATTTGGGTATCTTCTCTGGAGAAATGACCATCCAAATCTTTTGTCCATTTAAAAAAAATTTTGTTTTGTCTGACATCCCCCCCGAAGTCCTTGAGCAGAAATAACTGAATAACTGAGATCGAATATGAATATCTGCTAGTTATGAGTAATAAAGGTAGAAGTTAATTCTTTAAAAAGATTAATAAGATACTGCTGCTTGAGGAACTTCTTTTTTTTTATTGTGAATCTACTGGTGAACATTTGTCCCAGTTTTTGTTTATATGAAAAAATATATATTTTATCTTCATTTTTAAAAAGGATTTTTTTATTTGGTAAAGAATTCTAAGTTAAAAGTTATTTTGTTTTAGCCGAGCGTGATAGCGCATGCCTGTAGTTCCAGCTATTTGGAAGGCCGAGGCAGAAGGATCGCAGGAGCCCAGTGGGTCGAAGCTGCGGTGGCCGGGAGCGGCCACTGCACTCTAGTCTGGGTGACAAAGTGAGACTCCAACTCAAACAAAAACAAAAATAAAACAAAACAAAACAAAAAAATAAACCAAAAAAGTTATTTTATTTAAACCCTTTGGAGATATTATTACATTGCCCTCTGATTTAATTATTTTCTAGAGAGAAGTCAACTTTCAGTCTTACTGTTTTTCAGCAGTAGTTTTACTGTAATGTGCCTGGGTGTGAATTTATTTGTATTTTTCCTGGTTGATGTCCAAAGCATTTATTAAGCCTATGCTTTAATTCCTTTGGTCAACTTTAAAGCAATTCTTGGCTGTTATGTCCTTAAATACTGCTTCTGCCCCATTTTTGCTCATTTGTCCTCATATGACACAAATTATACATTTTTTTGATCACATTATATATCATATTATTTTTTCTTTGTTTTTAGTCTTCTTTCCCTCTCTGTTTTATTCTAAATATTTTCTATTGATCTATCTTCCAGTTCATTAATTCTCTGTATGGTTGTATAAAATCTACCTTCAAGAATTCTTAAGTTGTTTAGTAATATACTAGTTGGACTGGAAACCTGTAACATATAACTGAGCAGGTGTTCCCTCCACTCACTAGCCCTGTAACAATCTTCTTCATGGGAAAATTGTTTCAGTCCAGTGTTGTCCGAATTAAATTAATAATAAAGCCAAGAGTTTAGCCAAAAAAACCTTAAGTTCTTAATTTTATCAATTTATTTTTCCAATTTTAGAAGTTTCATTTTTCTATTTTTTTATTGCTTAGTGAATTTTTAAATTAATAACTTTATTTTTATTTGTTTTTTGGTTTTTTTTGAGTTGGAGTCTCACTCTGTCACCCAGACTGGAGTGCAGTGGCACACTCCCGGCCACCAGCGATCCTTCCGCCTTAGCCTTCCAAGTAGCTGGAATTACAGGCACGTGCTACCACACCCGGCTAGTTTTTTATTTTATTGTAGAGATGAGGTCTCGCCAAGTTGCCCTGGTGGGTCTCGAACCCGCAGACTCAGGCAATCCACTCGCCTCGGCGTCCCAAAGTACAGGCTGAGCCACCGAGCCCGGCCGAATAACTTTATTTTCAAAGCAGTTTTCATTTACAAAAAATTGAGTAGAAAGTGCATGGAGTTCCCATATGCCTCCTTATCTCTCCCACCTCAGTTTCCCTGCTATTGTATTAACGTCATCCATGAGCGTGTTACATTTATTACAGTTGATGTGCTAATGTTGTTACATTATTTAAACATTTTGTAATCTTTACTTTTTTTCTTTTATTTTTAATTGATATGTAATAGTTGTACATATTTATGAAATACAGATTGGTACCTTGATACATGTATACAATGTATAATGATCAAGTCAGGGTAATTAGCCTATTCATCACTTCAAACTTTTTTTTTTTTTTGAGTTGGAGTCTCACTCTGTCGCCCAGACTGGAGTGCAGTGGCCGCTCCCGGCCACCGCAGCCTTGACCTGCTGGGCTCCAGCGATCCTTCCGCCTCAGCCTTCCGAGTAGCCGGAATTACAGGTGTGCGCTACCACACCCGGCTAATTTTTTGATTTTATTGTAGAGATGAGGTCTCGCCTTCCCAGGCGGGTCTGGAACCCGCGGGCTCAGGAAATCCACTCACCTCAGCCTCCCAAAGGCACGGGATTACAGGCTGAGCCACCAAGCCCAGCTTCAAACTTTTTTATGCTTTCTATTTCTCTGCTGAAATGCTTCACTTTATCCTTTATTTGTTTTTCAACATATTAATTGCAGTTTTTTTCAGGGCCCATATTTGTTAATTTTATTATCTGGATCATCTGTGAGTCTGTTTCTACTCTCTTTTTTTGGGTTGGGTTTTGATCTTCTTGCCTTTTTAAATGTTAGATTAATTTTTATTGAATTCTAAACTTTATGTATGAGAGTTAAAGAAATTGGCTGTTATTTTTCTCTAGGGAAGATTTTGTTTTGTTTCTAGTAAGCAGTGAGCCTGGCTGATGTCAAACAAATGTAATCCCTACTTTAGATTTCCTTTCTCTCGGGAATCTTGGATCATCAAGCTTGCCCTGCCTTGTTAGTGTTCTGGTTCTCTCAGAAATGTTTTTTCTTTCACTTTTGTTCACCCTTCCTGTTTGTCTAGGTGGGAGAGTGATTGTCAAAACAGCAAATGTGTCAGAAATAAACAAATTCGATGCTAGATTATTAGCTTTCTGAAGAAAGAGTATGTGACTTGTATCTTGCTGTGTCCCCAGCAATATACAACATATTTGGTAAAATATAGGCACTCAAAAAATGTTGTCTTTTAATAAATGAATGGGTTTTCTGATGAAAATGTTGCAGAAATAGAGCAATATTTTGTAGAAAATTGTTCTAAGTCCATTAGGGAGATTACCAAATTTTTTTTTTAAATTGTGAATTCTGACTTGCTCTTCATAACAATGCATGTTTCTCATCTTTCTCTGCTCTTTTTTTTCAAGTTGACAATTTGAGCTAATGAATACAGATAAATAAGAAAGAATAGAGATGGAAAATCAAAGAACACTGAATGCTTTTATGGTTTCAAGGTTAAAGGTGGTGCTTTAAAAATTTCAGATAATAAAATGTTTAATTGGATTAATAATATACAAACGAGTACAACTCTTAGGAAAATGCTAGTGGGACATCACCACACCACAGAAATTAGGTAGTTGTGAAAATACTGGCTTTAACAGCAGGCTGGGTGTTAGGATTCTATTTATTAGGCTTATTTATTTTAAGCTGTCACATTGTTTTGAGGGAAGGAATGTAAGAGTAGGAGCTGTTTTGGTTTCCAGTCATTCATTGGTCTATTATATTCCAGGCACTATGGGACATGTCTTTTGGGCCACCCTAAAAGTAAACTCACCTCTTCCTCCTTGTCTTCTAATATGAAAAAGCAGAGCAAGTATATCAGCACCATTTAAGGCTGTCACTTGTTTTGTTTGTTTGTTTTTGTCACTTTGTTTTTTAAAGATGGTTTAGGAAAGCTGTGACTGTTATATTTTGCTCTTTTATTTTTAGAAATTGCTTGTGTTCTACCTGTACTGATGGATGGCATACAGAGTCACCCCCACAAACCTTTCTACACAGTTGGCGAGAAGGTGACCGTTTCCTGTTCAGGTGGCATGTCCTTACAAGGTCCTTCCGTGTTTCTCTGTGGCTCCAGCCTTAAGTGGAGTCCTCAGATGAAGAATGTCCAGTGTGTGCAAAAAGGTAAGCAGCAGCCATGTCTATACAAGGACAGTTGCACTTAGGCGAGTGAGAGTCCTTGTCGTAACCTTTATGGCACTGTGTTACCATAACTGTGAATCATTCCCTCCATCCTGCCCTCTCTGAGAAAGAGGTCAGTTTGTAGACTGGGTAACGTATATGTATACACATATTTTTTCTCATGGCACAGAAAGACTCGAGAATGCAACAGAAGTCAGATAGTTCTGAGACGTTTAACTTAAATCCTTCATATGAATGATTAGCTTTGTATTTGTCATGGTGCCAAGAAAATAAAGGATTTTTAAAAGTTACTCTTTGGTTTCCTCCTCAGATGTTGAGATAATAATTTATATAAAATTCTGTATATTTCACGTTTGGGCTTTCAGAGAGTTTATTGGTATTTTTAAAACCAAAGATTTAAAAAGCATTTTCTTCTTTTTTTTTGCATTTTCACTTAACACCGTAAAGCAGACATTATTGAAGGAAAAGTGTTGTGGTTTGTGAAGTTTTGCTAATAATGGTAATCTAAAACTCCAGTATTTTGAGCACCAGGAAAATTAAAATGGTCTTTTAAGAACCTAAGGAAGAAAAACATTTAGAAAGCCAAACTATTTGCTTTTAGAGATACTTTGAGATGAGATGGATTTTTTTTTTTTACTTTTTTTTTTTTGAGTTGGAGTCTCACTCTGTCACCCAGACTGGAGTGCAGCGGCCGCTCCCGGCCACCGCAGCCTCGACCTGCTGGCCTCCGGCGATCCTTGAGTAGCCGGAATTACAGGCATGCGCTACCACGCCCGGCTGATTTTTTATTTACTGTAGAGATGAGGTCGCGCTGCCCAGGCGGGTCTCAAACCCGCGGGCTCAGGCAATCCACTCACCTCAGCCTCCCAAAGGCGCGGGATTACAGGCTGAGCCACCGAGCCCGGCTTTTTTTTTACATTTTAAAAATGAATGGAAAATACTATATTTGTAACAAAAACAAGAATGAAGGAAAACTCACATCCTATTTATATGATATTAGTTCTCTCTAGTATATGCTTTTTAATTAAGTGCTGAAATTTGTCTTTTTTTTTTTTAGTCAGAGTCTCACTTCACTCTGTCACCTAGGCTGGAGTGTAGTGGCATACTCATGGCCACTGTAGCCTCGATCCACTGGGCTCAAGTGATCCTTCCACCTCAGCCTTCCAAGTAGCAAGAACTACAGGTGTACACCATGTCCCTGGCTAATTGTTTACTGTAGAGATGAGGTTTTGACTGGTCTTGAATCCCCTGGACTCAGGCAATCCTCTTGCCTTGGCCTCCCAAAATGCTGGGATTACAGGCTTGAGCCAGTGCGCCCAGTTTGAAATTTGTCTTTTATAGTTAGAATAAAGTACTAGGTTCCATAAGTGATATTGTAAGGTAAATTAGATGTTTATAATGAAATGCTCCATGCAGTAGGAGCTTGGGCACTCTGATACCGATGGTAGATATGGGCTGTGGTGTTAAGTGGATGACAGACAGGACAGTGGGCGAGGAACACATACAAGTGTTGTATCCATTGCGACAGTTCTGATACGCTATTTGGCAATAGACAGCTGCTTTGTTTTCTACATACACTGAAGCATGAACTTGAGTTTACTTGGGATATTTGAAGTAATAGACCTGTACTATAATTCTAAAATGAAAGAGAACGATACATGGTTGATGAGGTTGCACTTCTGTTCCAAATGAGTTTATAGACTAGTCTTTCTAAAATGCTGCTTCAGAGCTGGGCTCGGTGGCTCAGCCTGTAATCGCGCGCCTTTGGGAGGCTGAGGTGAGTGGATTGCCTGAGCCCGCGGGTTCGAGACCCGCCTGGGCAGCGAGACCTCATCTCTACAATAAATCAAAAAATCAGCCGGGCGTGGTAGCGCATGTCTGTAATTCCGGCTACTCGGAAGGCTGAGGCAGAAGGATCCCCGGAGCCCAGCAGCTCGAGGCTGCGGTGGCCGGGAGCGGCCACTGCACTCCAGTCTGGGCGACAGAGTGAGACTCCAACTCAAAAAAAAAAAAATAAAATGCTGCTTCAGTCATTTTATAGCACAATTTGACATGAAGTCTCTCCCACTCACAGAAAATTCTATTAAAGTGGGTTTAATTAAGGTTGTTTTTCAGACCTGTGTGTTTTTCTGAAGATGTGGTCAGTAAAAATAACTACTCTTAAAATAAGCCTTTAACGAACAAAAATCCCAGACTTACTAGCCTCTGAAGTTGATGTTTTAAAATATTGTCTGTTTCAGTATTTAATCTTTTTTTATTGTGATAAAAATATACATAACATAAAATGTGCCATTTTAATCATTTTTAAGTGCATAGTTCAGTGGCATTAAGTACATTCCCATTATTACGCAGCCATCACCACAACAATTTTTTCATCTTCGCAAACTGAAATTCTCTATCCATTAAACATTAACTCCCCATCTCCTTCCCTCATTGGTATTTAGTCTTGAGGAGAAGAAATTTGCTTTTAAAATTGCAAAACTTGTGTTTAAAATGTAACCTTATAGTTATATTTATTTGGTTAACCAAGCTGTAAAGGTAGCAAAGACATGTTCTTAAATGTAAAAGTCTTTGGTCTAGGTAATGCTATTAATTATTTTTCACAAATAAATTATAAGAATTTTGTAAACATTTAAAATCTAAATGTCAAAATTTGTCCTAAAGCAAATTTCTAACTATTTACATAGTTAGAACTAATTTACATCGCTTGATTTTTGAACCGAAGTTTTGGTGTATCTAGATTAAGGCGTTTCAACCTCAATGATATTGGAATTTGTAGTCTGGTAATTCTTTGCTGTAGGAGTCTGTTCTGTGCATTGTAGGATGTTTAGCAACATACGTGGTCTCTACTCACTAGGTGCCAGTAGCACCCTCTGGTTGTGAAAACCAAAAATGTCTCTGGTGATTTTCAAATGTACCTGCGGGGCAAAATTACCTCTGGTTGAGAAGCACTGATGTAAATAATACCATTTTTATTTTAGATTCAGGGAGAACACATGCAAGTTTGCTACAGAATATATTTGTAGTGGTGGGGATTAGGTCTCAGGTGGTCCATTCCCCAGGTAGTGAACATTATACCCAATAGGTAATTTCTGAACCCTAACTTCTCTCTCCACTTCTCCCTTATTGATGTTCCCAGTATCTATTATTTTCATTTTTGTGACCATTTAGCTCCATTTTAAAAAGCATTTTATTTTGGAAGAATTTTAAATTCTAGTAAAGTTGCAGATATAGTTTCTACATACCCTTCATTCATCTTCCTATAACAACATTTTACATAACATAACTTAGTTGGTTAAAACTAAGAGATTAATATTAGTACAATGCTGTGACTAAACTACACACCTTATTCATATATCTCCAGTTTTTCCACTAATGTCCTTTTTATGTTCTAGGATCCAGTTCAGAATACTACATTGAATTTAGGACAATCTCATTTTAAAGTGACATGTTTAAATAATGAATACTTATTATTGAGATTGCTGGACACAGCAGGCATTCTTCTCATTGCTACTATTTTTAAAGGTTTACGAATTGTTCACAAAATTATACCATAGCCAGGTACAGTGGCTCATGCCTGTAATTCCTGCAGTCTGGGAGGTTGAGGCAGGAAGATTGTTTGAGCTTAGGAGTTCAGGACCAGTCTAGGCAACATAGTGAGATCTTGTCTCTACAAAAAAATTTTAAAAATTTGCCAGGTGTGGTGGTATGCTCTTATAGTCCCAGCTACTGGGGAGACTGAGCTAATGAGGTTGAGGTTGCAGTGAGCAGTGATTCATGCCACTGCACTCCAACCTGGGCGACAGAGTGAGACCTCGACTCCAAAAACAAACAAACAAACAAACAAAACCCAAGAAGATAAAAAGACTGAGTTACTGTCATGTCTAGAACTCTTGAATTTTTCAAAGTAAGAAAGTCTTCCATAGTTTGTCTATTTATAAAAATATGCTCTTTGTATAAACTATGTTTATAGATATATTAAATGAGTAGCTAGTTTTATGATGCAAAAGTGTATGCCAATGGATTTTATTGTAATGAAGCAAGCAGGAAGAAAAAAATTGAAGTGTTTTAGATTATTCCCACTGCAATCAGGGGTAGCCGAGGTGACGCCAGTCAAATTATGCTCTTGTAAGCTGGACCAAGGAGTTTGCTCATCAAAATTGAAGAAACAGTTGATTTCTTATTAATTTCTATAAAATACAAAGCTATAGAAATAATTTTATTAATGTAAGTACCTCTAGACATTTACTCACTGTATGAGAATGTAAGGAGACCACTTAAACATTTACATGTAAGAGGTTATTTTAGATGTCCTCGGGGGTACCACAGAGTTCTCCATGTATAAGTCATTATGATGCTGCTTCCTGTCTCATTATAGACACAGCAGACAAAATGCAGTCCAAACAACAAACAATTATAAACACCAACTTCTTGAAAGGGAGCTGCTTTACTGACCTCAGATTCAAGCAACTGTGGACTTAATTCTTGGCTTGCCCAATTTGTTAAATGCGTGAACAAGCACCAATTTTCTAACTTATCTGGCTCTTAGTTTTCTCATCTCTTAAGCGAGCATTTGCTAGGGCGAGTTAAATATCCCAGTGTATAAAAGGTGCATGACCAGTTGTAAATGGTCAAGAAATGGTAGCTATTATTACCAACACAGTTGTTTGTAGAGTGTCTCTAGAAGCTCTCCATATCTTGTAACAATGCTTAATATTGTTATTATTTTTACTGTGCTTGCAGTTGAGAATACTACAGACCCTGGTCCAAAAATTCAAGCAATAACTTGCTTCCTATGAGGAAGCTCCTCTCCTAACAATTGTGTCTCCCTTATCCTTTTCTTTTAGATACCCCTTTAACACAGGCAGTGCCTGAATGTCAGCGCTGGGAGAAACTACAGAATTCAAGATGTGTTTGTAAAATGCCCTATGAATGTGGGTAAGTTCTGTCTTCCCTCATTTCTCTGTTTTAGTTTATTCAGGATAAATGAGATGGTTTCTTAGATGCTAAGTCAATGAAGGTGTGGCTTACCAAGGGGTTAAGGGTCTTTGTATTTTAATCTGGTCCAACTGCTGCCTGTTATTTGCCTGGGTCACCAGGGCTGACTGCTATGCTTTAAGCAGGATCTTAATCTGGCTAGCAAGGGCATTTTAAGCACTGCTTGTTTTATTCTTAAAATGGAGGAAAATCACAAAACTGTCACCTGAGGATTTAGAGCTTTAGAGAATTAGAACTGAAATTCCCCTGGGACATAAGCTCTTAAAACAATACTGATGGAGAAAAGTGCAGCTGCTTTTTCTGATTTTTGAAGCATCTTTTCTAGATTTCCATTATAAGAAGGCCACTGGTGGTTCAAGCCTGTAATCCCAGCACTTTGGGAAGCCCAAGTGAGAGGATTGAGACCAGCCTGGGCAACTTGGTGAGACCTTGTCTCTACAGTAAATCAAAAAATTAGCTGGATGTGGTAGTGCATGCCTGTAGTTCCAGCTACTTGAAAGGCTGAGGCAGAAGGATCACCTGAGCTCAGCCGGTTGAGGCTGTGGTGGATGTGAATGTGCCATTGCACTTCAGTCTGGGCGACAGAGTGAGACTCCAACTCAAAAAAAAAAAGAAAGAAAGTCCACCAACTTGAAATCACTGCATTGTAGGAGGATATTTGAAGTAGTTACTAGATGTCTGCGTCATAGTCCCATTAGGATACAGATGGCTCAGTTAAATTAGAACAAGAAGTTTTAGAAGGACCATTTACAAAAATGTGGACAGAGTAAAGGAAACTACAAGTCCCGGGGCGATACTCCTGAATTGGTGACAGCTTGGCCATATATTCACGCCTAGGCCTGCAGGAGCAGGGAGAGGCCCATTTAGGTAAACCTAGAGACAGGGAACAATGTGGAGATGGCCCTGAGGAGGAGCTGATGCTCTTATTTTAGGGACCTCAAAGATTCCACAAGAGTGAGCCAGGGGAATAAATACCCCAGATACACTCTCTTCCTACCTCCAGTGTCCTGCCATTGATCAAATTCAATGAAGGTAAAGCACAAGGAAGTCCAGGATGTGGTCTATACATATGAGCCTCCCAGGCAGGTAGAGAAGAGTAGAGAGTGGATCTGGGGAGGAGATTGGAGATATCTGCCCCACCCCCCCATTTACTGGACATCTTTAAAGATTCAAAACACTCATTTGCCAATGAATTACTTGGTTTTAATTATTATGGCCATCAAGACCCATATCCAACGTCTTGAATCTACAGTGATTGTATATAGAAACTTCTGGTGTGAAGAATAATATAACTAAATGGTAGTCAGTCTGGATACATTCTGGTTCTAATACTCTGACTCTGCTGCTACTTTCTGACACCATTGTTTACTCTGATTCACTTTTATCCTCTTTCCAACTTTCCCAATTCATTTAGTTTATCTGCACTGCAGCCTGTTGTTTATAGACATGGTATGAGTTTCAGTATCATCTCACGGTCTCAGATATTGATAACAAGGTGGTATTGTAAGGTCTCTTGGAAGCCCTTTCAGTTTGGAATAATTCTATTTAAGGCAAATAAACATCATAAAAAAGATACAAAAATAACAGCATTTGCTTCTGTTTTATAAGTAACCTCAGGTAAATTTAACTCTTGGTCAAAGATGGCAATATTAGACTAAATAAAATTTTGAGAATGTAGACTCTGACTCCATTTGGTAAATGCAAATGCTTTGTTGTGTAAGGTTTAAGCTACAGTAAGGCTTCTTCATCTGTCAGCATTCAGAAATTTGGTTTTTTATTAATAGTGACATTTCTACGTAGCTATATATCATTTTAGCACCAAAGCTTGTAAAAAAGTAACATGTTTTATAGAAATACTTTTAAATCAGTTTGTAAACAAATAATTTTAAAAATAGCATTGTAAAATACAGTTTCATCTTCCCTTGGTGACTAGAGTCATCAATTATTGGATGATACTATTTTATGGACATGAACTCTTGGCTGCTGTGCTGGGAGGAGCTCATTTCCCCTGCAATCAATGGTTTCATTTGACTATGATCTCTTTGAGGGTTTCTGTTTCCTTCCTTGCCAGCTGTTGCTAGCAGATCTTGCCTTCTTGTCTAATCTTCTGTATCTGATCTCTTCTAGGTGAAACTAGATTAACACTAGCTATCTGTGCTTGCAAAAATTGTGGGCAAATGAAGAGTAAATATAAATATGGTTATTTGGAAGAACTAAGGGGATTGGGCCCTAGGAATGAGGGGAATTTGAGTTTTCGTCCCTTTTTTTTTTTTTTTGCTGTGGGTGGTAATATCAGAAGGCATTAAGCGCAGAGCCTCACTTTTTCACTTCTCAGTTTTTAAGAATGAAAATCTCATTAAAATTATTTTCAGATCTTCTCTGGATGTATGTGCTCAAGACGAAAGAAGCAAAAGGATACTGCCTCTGACAGTTTGCAAGATGCATGTTCTCCACTGTCAGGGTAGAAATTACACTCTTACTGGTAGGGACAGCTGCACTCTGCCTGCCTCAGCTGAGAAAGCTTGTGGTGCATGTCCACTATGGGGAAAATGTGATGGTAAGGGATGTTTGCATTTTTAAATATAACAATGCTAGAGTAATAGTACAGAGGTTTTAAAAAATGTGGTTCTGGTTTAGTAGTGGGTCAAAGCAGACACCTGAGGATGTCAAAGCCCCAGACCAGACAATGAACTGCCCTCTCCCACTCCCTTTCCTGCGGAGGGCCACAGGTCAGGGACCTCAGAGGTTGAAAACCTATTCCTGATGGTTGGGATGTTCTCCCAAACTTTGGCGATTCCCATTCGACCTTCATGACTTTTGTTCTGTCCTTGCATTATCCATATTATGTACTCATTTTTTAAAAGAGTGACATAAAAATAACTTAAAAAATGGAGACTTTGCATCATGTCCTTAAGAGGAAGTGTCACTTGCCATAAATATTAGGTAACTGTGGAAATACGTGTACTGAAACAACCATAAAGTTGTAGATTCTTGCCAGACACTACTCTGAGACTGATGATGCTCTTTCTTTGTGAATTTAGCAAGTGTTAGAGGGGTGTTACAAAGATACTAGCACCAAGGTGACACTTTCTCCAAGAAGTAATCAGAAGGATTTGAAGAGAATAGAAAAAAAGAGTTACATTCTTGCATTGCGATTCATTATTTGCTAATGCTAAGTCTGAGTAGCACTTATAATGATCCTGAATACAACCAAGGACTCAGCACACCTCCCATGGTTTGGGCTATGCTATGGGAGAAGAAAGACTGGGTCTCCAGAGCTAAGTCACTGACTGGATTTCTCTGTCTGTGAATTTGGGAGCTGGACTGTGTGATCTATGGATCTCTGTCAGTTCTTCACTCCCTGTCCCTCTTAGCCTATTCCCATTGGGCACCTTTCTTCTTGCTCCTTCATGGTTTGCAGCACAGAAGATGACATACATTATTCTAGCCATGTCTGGGTCACTTTCAGTTTGGTGGTCACCACTGCCTGCTGACTGACCTTTTTACTCTCCTTCTGAAGACACCTGGCTGGTATATTCCAGCCATGCAATTCCCTTGCACAGACTCCTTGCCTCTCCAGCTCATCTCTGGTTTGGTTTTTGGGAAATGTAGCCTTCTGTATATCATGTCTCCTCTCTCAAAGGAAGTTTCATTCCTCCTTTTTCCTCTGTTTGAGCCTCGACTCTCAGTTCTTTGCTGAGGTCTTGGTCTTCTCACTTGGTCTGGAGGATGAAGGATTACACTCAGTTGCTGGCTCACATGGACAGCAGCATCCAAGAGGACAGGCTGGAGAGCTCTTGAGTTGGATAGAGTCATCCCATGTGGGTCCGACCAATAGAATGCCTGGCACCAACCTCAAAACCTATTTATTCGGAGTGGAGTAAAATGACTCAACTTCCTGGTCCTACTGCCTTTCTAGGAGATAGGTTATTGTATCATGAAAGGCAGGAGTTTCTATCGCTCTCTAATCACCTCATAATTACTTTGGAGGCAATGTGCTTTGACTCCTTCACCTCCACAATGTGCTGTTAAGTCTCTCTCACTTATTTTTTTTCCTAGCCCAGAGCAGCAAATGTGTCTGCCGAGAAACATCAGAGTGCGAAGACGGAGGGTTTAGCGTTTGTGTGGATGTGAATGGCAAGGAACAGACAATGTCCGAATGTGAGGCAGGAACCCTGAAATGCAGAGGGCAGAGCATCTCCATCACCAGCATCAGAACCTGCGCTGTGGAAACCGAGTAGTTTCTGGAAGCCCTGGATGTCTTGCTTGGAATCCAGCAGGCAGCTAGGGCAGAGTTAAAACATCTGTGTAACCGGGCGCTTGGACAGCTTTTCCAGAATGGAGGCACATTCTTTCTCCTTCTTCTCCAGTGTTCATTTCTCTTCTTAACTCCCAGACATCTGTATAAACATGATCCTTTGTTCTCCAAATCTAAACCCAGATACTATTTTTAGTTTTTGTTAATGTCAGTCAGGATGAAGATAATTCCTGAGCCTTTGCACAAGTTTGCTGTGTGTTCTTGGACTTGACTTTTTGTTTTGTCTGTAATATCTGAGGGTTAGACTAGAGAAATTTGAATGCTCCTTTCAGCCCTATCATTCTAGTAAGTATGACTGATCTAACCCATGGGCTAGAACACACTCTACAAACTGATTAAGAAAACAGAAGGTACATGATTTCCTGATTAGAGAAGTTGGCTTCCTTCAATGAAACCAAATACAAAGGGTACCTTGAATGAACAAAGACAGATACAGTTAATTCTGTCCTGAGAAGTAATCCCATGCTTTACCCAGCTGAGTCCACCACCATGTGTAGCGATCCTTATTTTCGTTGGGAGAGGGAACTCTGAAATGTCAGAGCATCATGTTATGTGTCACAGGAGTGCCTTCTGTCTTCTTGTCTGAGAACAAACGCAATCCAATCTTCTCTTTGGGGTTTTTCTTTCATATGTGTCAAACACAAGGCCTACAATTTGCCCTTCGTCTTTTTTTTTTTTTTTTGAGTTGGAGTCTCACTCTGTCCCCCAGACTGGAGTGCAGTGGCTGCTCCCGGCCACCGCAGCCTCGACCTGCTGGGCTCCGGTGATCCTTCCGCCTCAGCCTTCCAAGTAGCCGAAACTATGGGTGCGTGCTACCGCGCCCGGCTAATTTTTGATTTATTGTAGAGACGAGGTCTTGACAAGTTGCTCAGGTGGGTCTCAAACCCACGGGCTCAGGCAATTCACTTGCCTTGGACTCTCAAAGTGCTAGGATTACAGACTGAGGCATCGAGCCCGGCCTCCTTTGTCCTTTTTGTCTTGTAAGAAGCATCAGTTCATGCCTGAGGTATTGGCTGGTTGTGTATTTGAGAAGAGTTTTCCTTAAATGGCGATACCTATAGTTTTTTCAGGGGATATACAGGCTGATATATAGGCTGAAGCACTGGCCTTTTAGTTATCCTTATTCATTTTTCCTCAAAACAAAAAAGCAGCTGTGGGAGGTGAAATTTAAAATATGTTTTTATGGCTGGGCTCAGTGGCTCAGCCTGTAATCCCATGCCTTGGGAGGCTGAGGTGAGTGGATTGCCTGAGCCTGTGGGTTCGAAACCCACCTGGGCAACTTGGTGAGACCTCATCTCTACAATAAATGAAAAAATTAGCCAGGCATGGTAGCGCGTGCCTATAGTTCCAGCTACTTGGAAGGCTGAGGCGGAAGGATCACTGGAGCCCAGCAGGTCGAGGCTGCGGTGGCCGGGAGCGGCCACTGCACTCCAGTCTGGGCGACTGAGTGAGACTCCAACTCAAAAAAAAAGAAAAAAAAATGCTTTTATGTGCAAATACTATCTTTGTATTGTTCTGCTACTGATAAATACAGTTCAACAAAACTTCAGTTAAAATGACAAGGATTGGAAAACTCATTAAAGATATTATTCTTCAGAATAGTTTCATCTGTATTATGTTTAATTTTAGAGATGATTTCTATGAGGAATTGTTTATGAGTCTGAAGTTTTATGTCTGATTCACATCTAGCTTTAGATGGAGCATATAGAAGTTACAAGGAGGCTGGGCTCGGTGGCTCAGCCTGTAATCCCAGCACTTTGGGAGGCCGAGGCAAATGGATTGCCTGAGTCTGCAGGTTCAAGACCAGCCCAGGCAACTTGGCAAGCCCTTGACGCTACAATAAATAAAAAATTAGCCTCGTGTGATAGTGCACACCTGTAGTTCCGGCTATTTGGAAGGCTGAGGCTGAAGGATTGGCTGGAGCCCAGTAAGTTGATGCTGGGATGGCTGTGAGTATGCCACTGCACTCTAGCCTGGGCGGCAGAGCGAGGCTCCAACCCCTCCCCCCCACAAAAGGAAGTTACAAGGAGGAAGTTTTCCATTGATTAAAAACAATAACATTCAACTATTTCAATTGCATTTGCTAGAGGTAATCACAGAGTCAATTTCTACCCTAAGCAGAGGGATGGATTTGAAAATTCCGGGCCCAGATGCAGACTCTGAGTCAAAAGGTTGAGCAGGTAATTCATTTGGGAGGAAATACTTCAGAATCTTTCCAATAATTTATTCTCTTAAATTAATATGGAGTTAAGAGTCCTACTGCTTATGTATCACCATATTCCTTTCCTATATAATATAAAAGATATGGTCAGTATTATTAAATGCTATCAGAGATTGAGATCTGGAAAAAAAAACCAACCTAACAGATGTAACAACTAGAGGTTTGAGAAAGAGGTTCCAGCAGAGTTACTAAAGAAGAAGTAAAAGATTAATGAATTGTTGGAGAAGGAGGGTATCAGTGAATGTGGTGGTAGTGCCTTGAACTACTGAATTTTTTTGTTTCTTTTTTCTTTCCTGAACATTCTTGTGCTGACATTTTCTCTAGTCAGACAGAGGCATTCACAATTTCCTATGGAGAATTAGAATTGCTACAGCAGGTTGGCAAGGAGAAAGACACGTTCAGCACTGAGTCTTTAACAATGTTTTGAAACTTTCAAAATAAGTTCTTGAACACCTGTAGAGAGACGTTGAAGAAAGCCTAGGGGCACTGTTTTATACCCTAAAAATAAATTAAGAGAATAGAGGAGGGTGAGAATTCCCCTGCCTGCCCTTCCCTCTGTAGGTCACCTGGGCTAGGATGAGATAGAGTCTTAGAGAAGAGAGAAAGCAGTGCTGAGATTAAAATCATCTGGACCTCTGAGGGAACAAGAGTTAAAGTAGGATTGGCTGGTGCATTAACCATTACTGGCTCCAAGGAGCTATGCGGGAGCCAAGGCACATCCTATAGACCATCACTCACCACTTATGTCAAAACTGCAAGTTACCTGGACAGAGAAGCTACCTTAGAAGGTCTCCTAATTTCATTGAGAAGTGCCTTCCTGTGACATCTCACATCTTCCTAATAATCAATCAAATGAAGTGCTGCTTATAATTGCCCTAAGATTTAGTAAACCCCATCCAAACTATTGTGTATGCAACCTCCCTTTCAACTACCACTGCAAAACACTTATAATCATTTTGATACAGAGGAAGGGTTCCTGATATTCAAGTGGGTTATGGTGGGAATGTGGAATGGCAAGCAGGAAATTCAATAAATGACCCCTGGAACTGTGGGTGATCTAGCAACTAGCCATGTAACTGGCTAATTTGATTGCGGGTTCCCCTCTTAGGTGGGCAGATCATGGTTAATCTCAGCTTTACATGGGACTTGTGAATTCATCCAGTTGTTGCGTAACTGCCTGTTCAGATCTGCAGGTGCTGATCAGTTGATTTATTCAGCATTCTATGTAACAACTTATTATGTGTCCATGCATGAATCATTAATCATTTTTCCTTTTGGTCAAGACAGGTATGTGTACTAATCAATATTTTTGAACCTCACATGTCTTTGTTTTATGTTGCTATAACACAGTGCCACCTACTGGGCAATTTATAATGAACAGAAATTTATTTGGCTCATGGCTCTGGAAGCTGGGAAGTCCAAGAGCATGGTACCAGCATCTGACAAGGGCCTTTGTGCTGCATTATCCAATAGAGAAAAGTGGGAGGGCAAGAAAGCAAGAAGGGGATGAACTTGCTTTTATAATCAACCTATTCTCTCAATAACTAACCCACTCCTGTGATAATGGCATAATCTATTCATGAGAGCAGAGCCCTTGTGGCCTAATTACTTCTTATTAGATCCCATCTCCCAGCACTGTTGTCTTTGGGACTAAGGTTTCAACACATGAACATTGGGGGACATAGTCAAATCATAGCACCATGGTTTATCATTTGTTCTATATTTTCTTTCTATTTCTATTCAGTTTTCTTATACTTACATACTCATATACATACTAACTCACTGGATTAGTTGTGAGATCAGCAAAATAGCTAGTGCAAGTGGTCATCATAAACATGAAGATAAGCTAAGATGCTGCATACTTTCCTATAAGATGAAATCAGGTGTATCTACTACACTACTCTTTTTCTCTCTGAAGTAGAAGAGGAGTAGACAAAGAAAGGAAGAGAAAAAGAGAAAGGAGAGGAAGAGTGGGAGGAATGAAGGGAGAGAAGGAGGGTTATAGTGGGAAGGTGGAATGGCAAGCAGGAAATCTGATAAATGACCCCTGGAACTTTGGGTTACCTAGCAAACCATATGGGTGGGAGGGAGGAGGGAGGGAGGGAGAGAGAGCAAGAGAGAGCAAGAGAGAGAGAGAGAGAGAGAGAGAGAGAGAGAGATTCTTAGTATGAGATTGACAGAATTGAGCAACCACATCAGTCCACAGAGATTTTTGTTTCTTGATAGACTAGTTAAAGTATATTCAACATTTGTGTTAGAAACAGAATGGCCTGTTTCTTTTTCAGAACACTAAGCCAGAAAGCGACCTCAGTAGGAGGCAATTTCCGTTAATATCTGAGGAACCAGAGAGGTTTATGCCTGCCTTTCAATTACCTTGGTCTTTCAGGCAGTTCACACATTTGTGGACAAGAAAGCTGATGGCATGATAGGAGCCCCTGCTGTGACAACCAAAGCACCTGCAATTTGTCTTTTTATTTATTCCTGTCAGACTCTGAAGGCAAAGCTCTAGATTTATACTCAAAATATCAACCACATGGAAAAATTTGCTTTTTCAGTCGAGGGTTAACAAGACCAGATGGAAAGACTGCCGTTGTTTCAGAAGGGGTGGGCTGGAGATGAGGAGGTGAGTAGGAGAAGAAAGAACATTAAAATGCTCTTCTTGATTCACAAGCTGAGGAAAATTTCCTGTGAAAGGACAAATATAAGAACTGCTCTGTTATCACTGTTATTTCCATGCATCCTTACAATAGGAGACTTGTACTGAATTCCAGGGGAGGGGATTTAAGTACACAACAGATCAATGATGTCCAAGATGGAAATTGACTGAAAAATAATGAAGCGTATGTGATACTGACTTGAGAGCCCATTACAAAGTAATTAGCTGACCAGGTCAACTGGGAACACAGAGAGATCAAAACAATTTTTGGCAATAGTGAAATGGAATTTTCTTAGCAAGGGAAAGTTTTGCCTGACTTCCTCAAAAGATAGTAATTAACACAAAATGCTCAGGATTGGTATATCATTAGACCATACACAGCTTACATGTGCATTATGATAATATTTAATATGAGGCCACTCTGAACTCCAGAAAGTCTTCTGGAGAGTCTGGAAACCCTTCCCTCTCTTTTCTGTACATTTAGCAT